GACTGCAGTTCATACAGTCTAACAATCCAACATCCAAACCAATATATATATAACCAAGGAATAAGCCCTACACATCATCAGCCAAAGAAGACAGAAACAAAGAACACACCTGTTCAGCACTTGTACGAAGGTGCTAACCTGAAATCAACTTCACAGCATCAAACAGAGAAGGAAGGGAGTCTGTATCAGCATCGCCCTTCTCCGACTAGGGTTTCCTTGGTATTACGACCAAGGAAAAAACGCAGGAAGTGCCGCCAGAAATCTGCTAGGGTTTCCGCCAGTAACCTACTCGGGTTTCCCTGTCTTCCACGTCCAAGATTTTTAAAGAAGGAAACCTTGCTCAAAACAGGAGGGATCGTTGGTCTTTTACAGCCCAGAAAACCTGCTCTGATACCATGTAATGTTTCATGGAGAGTGGGAGAGAAAGAGAGAGAGAGAAAGAGAAGAAAAGGGAGATACGATTGAGAGGAAAAAGATACTACTGGCTGCCGCCAGTTTTNTACGATTGAGAGGAAAAAGATACTACTGGCTGCCGCCAGTTTTCTATTTATATTAACTTAATAAAAAGAATAGAAATTACAAGTATGCCCCTGGCAGCACACCCTAGAACCAAACTAATAAGAAAAAAAAGACAAGTAACTAACTGACAGTATCTTAAGAAGTCAGCCTACTAACAGTAACTATAAGGTAACAATTAAATAAGCCTTACAACATATGTGATAGGATTTTGAGCTCATTGGTTTTGATTTGTTTGAAGGCTTGTCAAAAGAATTGGGGTGGGCTGGTTTATTTTGGGATTTTCGGGTGATGCCTTGTCACATGTTGTATTATTTGCTGGTTGTTATCTTAATAAATTTTCTTCTTTATTTATCTTCAAAAAAAAATGAATGGATCAGATTAAGATTACCCTTTCAAGATGGAAAACCTAGGTCCCCTGCTACAAAGTAAAAAATTTTTGATTATTATCAACCAATGTACCCGGGGAAAGTTGTTGCCCAAATGTGAAGGACCCTAAATCAAAAATTCATACTAAGATGGAGCATACCTGTTCATCACCATGGAGAGCATATGAGTAACTTCCCCCTACAAGTGCTTGGTTCCTGGTATAAGTGTATAACAGCACCTTCAAGACTATAAATAGAAGAACCTTTCACAGGTCCCAATCATTTTCAAACATGCTACCATAGACCATTTGTTGGACTTCTCACAATTTTTCCAAATCAAGCTGGTTGCAGCTGGGGCCAGTTCTCTGTCCTTTATTTATTTATTTATTTACTTCTTTTGTGGGTGTTATTGGCTATACAAAATGGCAAAAGTCACTTCCTAGAAATAAATGCATGGAATTATAACCCTTTCCAAACTTTTAGGGAGTTTTCCCCACTAATGAATTTTCTTCATTAGATATTAACACGGGAAGAGACTTTTATCTGATCTAGAATCTAAAATAGAGCTTTTAGATCATGTTAATAATACTATTAATTAGAACTTTTTTCTGTAGCTAATTTTACCAGTTATGTAGAATTGTTCTTCCTGAAATTTCTTTATTCTTTGTAATTTTCTTACTTAATGTGCTACCCAAGTATTTATTGCAAGTTGACCATGAAAATTGAATATAATTTTAAGTAATTATGCTAACTAAGTTTTTATTCCAAGATGTTCATGAAGATTGGTATATTTTTAAATCTTTTTTTTATCAGTGAAGAAAACTTTATTAACCAAAAGGTCAAAGCAATACAAGCATCCCTAAGAGAGGCGCAAGCTGCATCCTCTCCAAAAAGACATTGGATAATACAAAAAGCAAGTTACAACTTACAACTGAGCCCAAAACAAATGCTCCCTATTAACCCCTTGCTTGGCTAAACAATCAGCCAAAGCATTTGCTTTCCTTCCCACCCATTGAATGCTTATGTTCATGTTCTGTGTGAACCACTTGAATCTCTTTTTTTCATTCCTATAGGACCACATAACAGAATCTGAATCCTTCAACCACCACACTACCACTTTTGAGTCCCCTTCTATCAGTAGGGACTCCACTCCAAGCTGATTTGCTATCTGCACTCCTTGAACAGCCACTAGTAATTCAGCCCTTAAAGAGTCTCCAATTCCCAGCAGACCTGAGAAAAGACAATAATCCGAGCATCGTTTCTGAGGACTCAACCTATACCAGACGGACCTGGATTACCAAGGCTACTTCCATCAAAATTTAGTTTTACAAATCCTTCAGGGGGGGGGGGGTCCAAGTCACCAGCAATCTGTATATGTTTATGTTATTAAAGATAACTTTTCATGAAAACATTTAACTAATTTACTGAATTTGTACTTCCTTGTCAGGCAAGCCTTTATAGAGGAGCTAGGACAGAAAAGCCTAGAGGGCGCCATCATGGATTAACTCAACAGAAGAGGCAAGAGATAAAGGAAGCATTTGAGCTATTCGATACTGATGGCTCAGGTAATATAATCATTCTTACTATGTAAATTGTTACATATTCAATTTTTCAAACTAAATTGATTACTTTGTTAACTGTTTCCTACTTTTTGAAGGCACCATTGATGCCAAAGAGTTGAATGTTGCCATGAGGTATGAATGACTCTACTACACATCCTACAGCTACAAGCTACTAATTTGACAGGTTGTGCAATATCAACATTATAATTTTTGTGCAGGGCCCTGGGGTTTGAAATGACAGAAGAGGTACCACTTGCACCTGGTTATTTTATCATTTAAGTGCTAAGTTATTGAATATATTGATGCTAAGGTAAGAACATAGCTGGGAGATCCTATTGAATATTTCTTGATTGAGTAGACTCCTTGTTCATCACAACTACAATGTATGTGATCATAAGGCTTGTTTGTTGAAGTGTTGGGGGAATACCAGTTTCCTTTCAAGGCTCATGTTGAGGAGTTTATGTGCATATTAACTTTTTATTTTTTGAAGATAAATAAAGAAAATTTTATTGCTAAAAAAGAAAGTACATCATAACTAGGTGACAAGAGGTCACCCCAACCTGATTAGAAGTGAAGCAAAACAGAAACCACAAAAAGCAAAGCTTTCAGAAACAAAAAACACAGACATCAGAATTCCTTTTATGAATTCAGAGAAGTCCAGAAATCAGCACCAAAGTCTTCTTTCTTCAGCCCATGAAATCTGGAAGAAGCGATACTCAGCCAATAACTGTTGAACTGATAACAGCCACTGCCTCCTCCAATCTTTTCTTTTTCTCCTAAAAAATTCTTCTGTTTCTTTCCTTCCAGATCTCCCAGCAAACAGCAAAGGGAATACAGGTCCATAAAATCTTAGTCTTAATACCACCCTGTATTCTTGGCCAGCAACTAAAAATTTCAGCTGGATCCGACATGGAGCACCTAACTTGAGCTCAGCCCAATATCCCACACTATTTTTTTTCATGTGAACAAATGAAGAGGCAACAATGGGCATGCACCAAAGATGGTTTTTTACTGCCATGTTACCTTCATCTCCAATCCATCAATGCCTACTAAGGGAATTTTGATATTGTAAAAGATCAAACAGCAGTATATTTTGACAAACTGAGGAACTGTGAAAAACTCTCTTTGGTAGACATAGCCTGTTTGGTATCGTTTTTTGGAAAAATATCTTTCGGTGCTTACCTATGACACTTGTGCCAATTGATGTTCAGTGATCCAGAGTTCTCTCACAATTTTCCACTCAAACCCTTGGGTTTTTATTACTCCAATGCACCTGATAGAGCAAAATGGTGGGACAGGATTCATGTAGTTGACCTCAAATACTTAGAATTAAGAGAGTTAAGTCGTGTACCCTTGGGGATTTTTTTCTTAAGACAGAGCACTTATTTCTCAAAGATCTCTCTATTTTTCGATAAATCTTGAAATCAAGCTTCCAAAATGGGTATTTCTCAAAATACCAAAATGGGTGTCTTGGTATTCCAGTAGAAGAACAATCTGTGGAAACCAAGTTTAATTCCTTATCTTGCAGCAATTACAGGATTATATTAGCTTCCCTCAATAGTCAACACTATTGATTCCTTCTGGTACACATCTTGATGATCGAGAAGACGGCCAAGGGGAGATATATTTTACACTACCAATAAGGCAATAATAGAGTTAAGGGCAAACCAAAATTTGCTTTACTTTTCTCGAAATTAAATGTCAGCAACTGGTGACTGGTGAGAATTCAGGGTGTACCATCAGTCTGATCATCTGTAGTAAGAGGGTGAGAAATGTGAGTTGAGGTACTCTGAAAGAAACTTTTTTCAGAGCTGTGACATGGGTAGTTTCGTGCCCTTGGATGCAGACTGCAGAGGCATTGCATCGCTGATGTCCGGCCCAGAGACACACACGAGTGGTTCTACACACTTTCGTGTAGTAGCAATTATAACTCACATCTTGTAAAACTAAACAATATCTAGGTTGCTGAAACAACATCTGCTATTTAGATCATACTTGGGCAAAATCACTGTTGTCAGACTTAGACTGGACATTGAACCGGTGATTCAGTGCGAGCTCTCTAGATCCCAGTTATTTGACAGTCTTCATGGACCAAATAATAACTATTGAGGGAATGGTAAAGGTAAGGCCATTATGATTTTTGTTTAAGCATTCAAATTCTTTTTGCAATTAAAAGGCTATCCTTCAATATATTCACATAGTTGATTGTGTTTCAGTGCTTATATTGTAGGATATCACAGGATGCAGCACAAGGATGAGCTCATTAATTATTTAGAGATGCCTTTTTCTCAACCTTCAGATTGCGATTCAACCCAAATCTACATACAAAATTATTTGCCTCAGAAAAAAATGCAGTTTTTTACTATGCATGATTGGATTTGAAATCATTTATCTTGCCTTGATGTATCTACAGCTTTTTTTTTTCTTTTCATTTTTACCTAATTGAATCTTGGTCAGCCATTTTGTTTGAATTTAATTGTCTAACATGATCAAAACAAGCAGCCTTAAATGCAACTTGACATTGTTGACATGTTCATCATTTGCTCAAACTTAAATTAAGAAAAGATTCCCTTCGATTTGATTGATAGTCCTCTCATTATCAGTTTCAGTATCACTTGTTGTTCTTTCTTCCTAATTGTTATTGTTAAAGCTATAATTACTAACAGTAGAACCATCTGTTATTCCAGCAAATTGAGCAAATGATAGCAGATGTTGACAAGGATGGCAGTGGTGCTATTGATTTTGATGAATTTGTGCACATGATGACAGCCAAGATTGGAGAAAGGGATACCAAGGAGGAGCTAATGAAAGCTTTTCACATTATTGACCAAGATAAAAATGTGAAGTGCCTCAGACCTCTAAAAGACTAAAACTGTCCTTTTCCTTTCTTATTTCTAGCTAATTTGTACCGATCAAAGTGCAGGGAAAGATATCTGAAGCAGACATTAAGCATATAGCAAAGGAGCTGAATTTGAATTTTAGTGACAAAGAGATTCGTGACATGGTAGAGGAAGCAGACCGTGATCGTAAGTTACCTTTTTCAGCATTTAAGTTGATCATTTTATTCTCTTGTATATTTTTTTATTTTGGACTAGGCTTTCTCATGATATTGATGGAAGTGTATGGGTCTCTAATATTAACTGGTTTTCTTGTTACATTTCTTCTCCATTGCATAATTCATGTTTACATTTTGAAATAGAAGACCAATATCTGGTTTTTTTCCCTTCTAAAATCTTGAGAACGCCTGCTGAGAATGCTTCAAACTATGATACCCAGAGTGCAACCAGGACATGGATGGGCAAAATGTCAGATGCGGAAATCACATTAAAATTGCAATGCTGCACACATAGCACCCCGTGTATGGGTACCTGTATATTGTAGGCTACAAATATTTTTGGAAAAGTTTAGGTTGCCCTTGTTTAGTTCCCAGCCTATTTTAAACCATACAGGAACATAGTCCAGAATGGATCCACCTGTTTGTGCATGAACTTCAGTAAGGCACCAAGTTTGCTAGCACACACCATCTTGTCCATTTTGTTTTTACTTCAATAATTGATTAAGATGACCTGTAAATTTATCAAGAGATGTACATGAAACAGGTCTGTTGCTCATAAATCTTTCAGCATTAGGTCGACTTGCTAATCCATCACCTGCCAAGAATAAGCCACTGAAGTACTAGATTTTATTAGAATCGGAACCCAATCCCTTTGCCATTAGTTTGGGAAGAGTGCAAAATACAAATATGTACAATGCAAATATAAGGTATAGAAATACCGTATACAAGATTTTGCACTGAACATATTTGTATTTGCACTCTTCCCAAACTGAGCCTAATAGTATTATCAAACTATCCAACATACAAAATCCTTTCTGGCCCTTTTAATAAGCTCTTGTGAGAAAATGTCGTCTGGAAGCTAGTACAGGGAAGTGTAGCTGTGTAGGCCTTCTACTAGACACACACGGAGGGGGGGGGGGGGGGGAGAGACCTCATAAAATACATGGCCTTCTGGTGCATCCTCTATGAACACCAACTCTGTCCTTTTATAAAAATTTAGCAAGGTTTTGCAACTTCTTTTTCTTCTTTGATATTGCTATGGTTTTTCTCGACTCCTTGCAGGTTATTTCATTATTTACTTTGCTTACTTTAATTCCACTGAAATGCACAGGTGATGGTGAAGTCAATTCTGAGGAGTTCATCAGGATGATGAAGAGAACTACTTATGGGCATTAAAGGTCGAATTTCAAAATCTATGCAATATTGGCAATCTCAATGGAATTCTGACAGATGCATACTCAAATTTTCGGAATTCAGAGCCTAGCAAAAGACCCTCCAGAATGAAATTACAGTTTCATATATTCTCCCATTTGCTTGACCATTTACATTTGCAATGTGGTTAATTTAGTTTGTTTCTATTACCATCCTTTGTACAGTGTTTCTCTATTTGGGTATACATTTTGTCCTAATGAGTTCTGTGAGAGGTGGTTTTTGTTCTATGTCCAGACTCCAGACATTATTTTGGATATTGACTCCTTAGGAATGATAAATTATCCAATACCCTGGTCTCCATTGGCCCAGTTGCCATGATTGTTACTAGTGCGACCAGGCGTGGCAGAATTTGGTTCCTTGGATGATTGGAGACGCTGGTGAATGCCAAGCTGGAGGTGCTCAGCCCAACCTAATCTGGAGTTGTTCATTCTCGGCCCTACTTAACTTGATTCAGTACTTGCTTATGGTACCTTGGGTTCGGCTTAGGTTGGGTTAATTGTTTTTCCCAGCCAATCCAAGTTACACTGTACTTCAGGACTAGATGCTGGATGTAGATGGTAAACTCAAGGTTCAAAATATCGATATGTCCGATATGCCAGTAGGGGCATATCGGGCGATATTGATAGTGTTTTTTTTTGCTTTTTTTTCAAAACCGGTTTAGGAGGGCCGGTTTAAGGCTCCTCCACCCCCTGAACCGATCAGAACCCCGATACACCCCTCTGTAGGGGCATATCGGGAAGCCATTGGCACGATATCGACTGATAAATTGTAAAGACTTATTTAGCACAGCTGGTATTTCTCCTCGAAGTTCAGGGGGTGTCATACAACATGAATGCTTTTATTTTCATCTGTTTCTAAAATTCCCTACATAAAACAAAAACATGTTTTTGAACTCTTTTTTTTCAAAGGCAAAAGCAAGTTTGTTTTGTCTTAAAGAACTAGAACATGTTTTAGAAACCATCAAAATAATAGTTTTTTTAAACAAAAACAAATTTTGCAGTATAAAAATTTTATGATTTATATAACATGATATTAAATAACCAAATGAAAACATGTTTTTGAAACTAGAAATTCAAGTATGATTTTGGTTTCAGTTTTCAAAACAGAAAAACACATACAGAACCAAGAATATTTTTTGTGTTTTCGTTTTGAAAAACAAGTTGTTTTTGAACCATGGTTTTGAACAATTCATATAGTAGAATGCCCCCTTATTTTTTTTTTCTTTTTTGTTTTTATTTTATCAAAACAAAACAGGATTCAAGAAGATGCCTCATTTTTTTAGATTTTAGGAACAAACGAAAACAAAACAAATCATGTTGTAACTTGTTACTTGTTAGACACCACCTTATCTATTGACTTTTTTTTTCAATAATGGTATTCCCATAATTTTACTCAGTTCAACAGTCACAAGTGACCCACGATACATCAAGGCTATAACTTCAAGGTATTGATATAGATATAGATGGCACCATTATTCTCCCTTATTCTTTTGGGAGAGTTGGGATCTCTTTATCTACAAACTCTTTTCACATCCTTTGCTACAGGAGTGCATTAGGAGATAATGAGGAGATGTTTTATTTGTTCAATAATTTTTTCAAATCGAGTTTGGATCTCTGCTTACGTCTACCCACATAACATTGCAGTCACACATGGAGAACATCTCATCATCTTACATAATATTATGTAAGGGAGATATTCCAATACATGGAGTAGTGTGTTGTAGATAGACGTGGGCAGAATTCTTGTAGGCAGGAGATCCGGAATCTCCCAAATCTATTATCTCCTATCAACAAAACTCCCTCCCAAATAACTTCCAAGATGATTTATATATTGCATGAATGACAGGTTGTCTTGAGGGAGTTAACTTGGCTGTTGGGGCCAACAGTATTTTCTGGACTGGGCACGTTTTAGGAGTTCGCCTATTCACGGCCCATGTTTTAATTTTTAATAAAAATAAATTAATATATAATTACTAATTTACCCATTCTCATGATAACGGTATTCCTAGAAAATTTCTCTACAGCATAGGCGGTTGACCCCAACAGTTAAAGTCTTTCGGTCTTGAGGTGGGTTTCAATCGGCATCTGTTACTCATAAAGCGCACCTCACACCAACCACACGTTGAAACGTGTTGGAAGGGGATTTGGGAATATATCTCCCTTTGTCATTTCATTTCATTTCATGGGAGATGTTCCCAATATTATAAACTAAACTAAACCCGTCAAAGTCAGTTGGTTATCCATCAGCTCATCCCCTTCATCCCTTCATTCGTCCATTTTCCCCCGTTATATGCTTACTATACAATGGTTTGCTTTCCCTTGATCCCTTCTACCATCTTGTTTTTTTCTTCCGTCCCGCTCATTATAGCAAGCAAGCAACAATGTCGACCCCGAGCTCGCTCAAATCTGCCGTACTACTGGAGCAGATGAAGTTCCATCTCGCCACCGACGCTGGTAAACAACTCACCAAGAAAATCGGCCTTGTTTATCAGATCACTTTCGCCCCTAAGGTCTTCCTCTTCTCTCCCTTTCTTTTTCTTTCTGTCTCTGCTCCCAATCCAAAACTCCGACCATAGTTTCTTTGGGTTTCTTTTATTTTTCCTGCCTGGCCAGAAAATGGGAGTCGATGACCAGATTTATGTGGTTGACCTCAAGAAAGGAGAGGTTACTGAAGGTTAGGGCTTTTCTTTATCTTAATTTGATTGAAACAATTGAAGAAATCCCTTTGTTTTCATAGAATGGATGTAAAGTTTTTCAGGCTGAGATTTTTCAGAGCTGCCCCTTTTTTCAATTTCTTGATTTAAATGCAATGAATGGGATGAAAACATGGCTCAAATGTTTCAGCCTGAAAATTTTTTGTGTCCATTTCATGCAAACGTGGCCTTTGAACAAAATGCGAGAAAAAGTTATGCTTGTATATTCAATGAGTCTGGTCTTTGCTTCTGGTTTCTTCTTGAACTGAAACAATCAAATTGATCATAACCTCAACTTAACAAACCCAAGAAGAAAGCAAAGGGAAAGGGTGAAGAAACGCAAATTCTCTATCAACCTATCCTGTCTCCGTTCCGCTTCATTTTCTTCTAAAGAAAAGTTTCTGAATTGGCATTGCTTTTTGATGATTTTGATCTGTGATCTAGTTATACAAGCAAATTTAAATTGGAACAGTTCAATAAAGATTTGACTGTAAGAATTCAGACTTTCCACTTTGTCTGTCTGTCCAAATTTTTGGAAACTAGGTTCGTATGAAGGGAAGCCCGATGCCACGTTTTCCTTCAAGGATGACGATTTTGTTAAGGTTGCTACTGGGAAGATGAACCCACAAATTGCTTTCATGAGGTGAGATCATCCCTATAATATCAGAAGTAATTTCAGAACTGTGACGAAGATGAAGCTCAATTGTTTTACTTATGTTTTTGAAATCGATGAATGCAGAGGCGCCATGAAGATTAAGGGTAGTCTGAGTGCAGCACAGAAATTCACTCCGGACATTTTTCCAAAGCCTTCAAAGATGTAATAAGAACCATAGAAAGAGGGAGCTAGTCGTGTCAAGACTGTTTCCCTTTGAATCCTTGAAATTTAAGTTTTTAGATGCTTTCAAAGAAACATGTTATTAGACTGAAATTTCTTTAATTCTATGCTGTAACCTGTAAGATCATAGCCAATTAGCTCATCTTTCATTTACATACTGTGGCCCGTTCCCAAATCCCAATTTCTAATTTACAAAAGCTTCATTTTGCTGAGCTCATCAACTGCAACTACTCACGGAATTGACCCATGTTTTGATTGGCCAGCCAATCCCAAATCTCTAAGAACATGGAATCTGAATCTCCTGTATATTTGGCCAAGTACGAATCATGAGCTGCCATTAAAAAGTTTATCAATCTGAGACAAGATGCATCAATTGGGCACAACAGAAATCGAACTCTCTAGAAGCTGTTTACTAAACTTAGGTTGCCTTTGAATAAGCTTCAAGATTTGTGATTTCAAACCGCAAAGCCCCAATTTTAGCCCTGTTTAAAAAAAAAATGTTTTTATAATAATTAGCTTTGAGATTAGGGAAAGGAGAGGTTTCTTGAAACACTAAATTTTTGTTTCTTGAATTGCCTCGGTGATCTTACATCACCCTGGTGAGATGGTACATTGAAATTTGAAGAAACTGATTATTTTTTGAGATGTCACACATTGTCATTATAAATATGTTATAATATTAAGCCAAATCACTATAAACGTTCAGTCAGCCTGCATCTCATTTTTTTTGTGTTTCTTAAAAAACAGATGAAACAAATCACTTGTGAATTAGGGCCCACTTGTGAAATAGAACGGTTGTGAAATGCACCAATCCCAAGCATCCCCAGAGTGTTTCTCGCATTTTAGCCGCACATTGAGAACATCTCCCATATTTGTATTTATCATTCATGGGGAGATATTCCCAATACAGGGTGGGATGTGGCTGTGAAGTCAGTGTGAGAAGCATTTTATGAAGAGCAGATCTCAATTCATAATAGATATATAAGAGATTGGATTCAGTCCTCACAAGACTGCTCACACCGTTCTCATAGTCCCTTGCAGCCTAGCATTGGGATTGGAAATATCTATATTCTCCAAGGGACTGTGTATCTGCCATGTGCAGATACAGATCATATTGTGTTAAGAAACAATTTTTTGTTGTGAGCAGATCGCAGATCTGGCTTCGTCGTAGAATATTTATTGAGTGTTCATTCACGAATCTGGATCTCTGATCTCTTGCACTCTACTTTGGTGTGAGACGGGATAAAATTTAATTCACTTTTTTACGGGTCAGCCATGCGTAGCACTGGTATCTCAAATGTGCCAAGTCATCAAAAAAGGTTTATAGAAAGAGAGAGAAGAGATCAACAACTTAAAACTAGAAAATCATAGTATGTTGTTTTTTCAATCACTTTGTTGAAGCAACATATCTCCATTTGGGTCAATTAAGTTTTAAGAAATGGCAAGAAAAAGAAAATAGAGAAAGTTTAATGGGATATTTTGATAATTTAATGCCTTCCTGTTCCTGACTTAATGGTCAAGGGGTATTTATCACAATGTAAAAGTTCAGGGAGATATTTGTCGTAAATTGAAGCAAATTTTGCGAAATACAGGGGGACTTTGTAATTTAATACTCCAAATTTTGCGAAATTTATCTTAACACGGCTATCTGTTAAGGGCATATTTGAAAGAACTTTCACAGAGAAGCTTCTAGCTTTGCAAGAGGGGCCTTCACATGAAAAGCCTAGAAGCTATGTAAAAAACTGGAGGCTAAGATGCCTTTTAACAGAGCAGCTTCTGGCTTTGGTGCTATCATTATAATAAATCGACTTTGCGATGAAAGCTAATTTCAGTAGCTTCCTCAACGTGGCTTAAGCAGTCAACGCAGCTCAATCAAAGAGCTGAAACCTTGGTAGGAAACCTGGGCTCCGATCAACCTCCGCTTTCTCTCGTTTTCTTTTCGAGTCATATTCCCGTTGCCTTTTGTCTGTCCCTCCCTCATTCCCCACCGGCAACGGACCCCCACCCTCTGGTCCTTTCCCTTCTCTCACACTCACTGAAAAGCCACTTATTAGGGAGTTAGGGTGAACGCTATCTCGTGCAATTCTCCTAGTCTTATTCTTATCGCCAATTGCATCTTCGTAGCAGATAATTCTCGAGCTCAGGCGCCATTGGTCCACCAATTGATGCTTCTCTCTCAATTATCGGTTGAATTTTTCTCATGGACTCGATCTGGAGCCACAATGGCGTGCCGGAAGCTTTCCATTTCTTCATAGCTATCTACTTTGCTGTAGGTTTTGTTGCCGCTAGGTTCTTCTTGGACACCTTCATATATCGTGTAAATACATCCTTTTCCTTGTGTTATTTTTTTTTCTGTATCTGGTAATATTGACATGAAGTAGCTTTGCTTTGATCTTGTTGGGTTGCAAATGTAATCAAATTTTGGTTCAAAAGGCGTTTTTTACCAATGATAAAGATTTCTGTTATTTGGAATCTTAATATGGAGTTACTCAAGTGAATGTGCGTCTGTGGAAACTTGAACTGGAATGCTTTAGACAAGACGAATCCAGCTCAAAATATCATTTCAAATGCTTGCTCTGTTTTTTCTTTTACTTATATGCCATTTTCTTTGCTTTTAGCATTTAATTGACAAAATGCATGCATGGTCTCTGATAGTCTGATTACGTTCTATACGGGCATACAGTTCACATGCACAAATATGCTCGGTTTAGAGAATCTAGTCAATCTATCTACAAAAAATAATAAAAAAAAAAGACGAAACGTTAGATGTGGGAGAGGATCATTTCGTTATTCGGTGGGTAACATAGAGTCCAATACAGTTCCATACAGCGGCTATCTATGGCTTCAATTGTCCTCCTATTTAAATTGGTTTTGTCATCGATCAAATAATTGCCAACGCCGTTGGTGAGAGCACTTCATTAGCCTGCTTTTCTTTAGTTGCTTTAGCTGCTTCTATTGCACGGATATTTAGATAAGTTTGAGCTTGTTATTGCTATTGACGAAAATGCTTCCAGAATATTATTTTTAGCCACTTCTATTGCTGTAATTTAAGATATGATTAAGCATGTCATTACAAATTATAATGAGGGCTAGTAGTTAATGTCTTTTGCCACTTACATTATCATGAAACCATACAATACTGATCTCACGCGCATAAGGTGTTGTGTAGCATTAAACACTCAGGCTATGTATGATTTGAAGGAAAAAGTAGGGAAATGTAAGGAAACCTTTACAAGCCTTGTATAAGTTTCCCTGCCTTTCCCTTCCTTTCCTTACTTTTTCCTTCAAACCAAACACAGCCTTAAGGATTGAAAAGGACTTCAGTTATGGTTCTTATTCTACCATTAGGTTAGTAGGTCAAACTGAAGGATGGATTAAACCAATGCCCCAAAAATCCTGAACCCAATTAAGCCTTATCCCAGTTGTATATGGTTAGATAGAAGAATCCCATTTTTCCATTCCACTCTGTCAAGGACAATTTCCATTGTTAAATTATGACCTTTCAACTTGCAATATGTCACTTCTTAATTCTTACTTGTGCAGTAGACCATCTTCTATGGACATGCCCAAAACCATCTTAGTGTACTTGCCCTTGTTTTATCACCTGTTGGGGCCACTCCTAGGTTCCTAGAAATGCACTAGTTTCTAACTCCTTTCCCCTTTTTTTTTTAATTTTTTGACTCATCCATCTTGACATCTGAATCTCTACCAAACTAGTTTTTGTTTTGTGGACATTGCTTCTTGACTACCCAAAACTCTGATCCATTAAAAAAAAAAAAAACTCTAGAAGTACTGTTCACCAAAATGCCCCATGATGAAAGACAGAATATAGTCATTTACATGCTCAGTTGTCAATTGTCATAAGATTACCAAGTTGACATTACAAAAGAACTCAAAGAATCTTTATCCAACCTTTTGAGGTTGGCTACATGTATAAGCTCAACTCTCTTTCCCTATCTCACATAACACACAGAGTACATACATGTAGAGAAGTGCTTCTCATAGCATGCATATATGTTTTTGTCAATATATTAGTTTCATCTGAATTCTTTATCACTCAAGTTTCTTTGATTTTACTTACCCTTTAGGTAATGGAATGGCTTCTATGAATTTAGTGGATCAAATGGAAAACATTGTCAATTTATTTGCTATGACAAAACACTACTGACGTTGACTTATATTATTTGATACTTTAAATTCTAATCCTTCAATGTTCTTTTTGATTATATTTTCTTGCATTTTTCTCTATTTTCCAGAGGCTGGCTATTTGGTTGTTGAGTACTGGAACTGCTCCAGTAAAGATTAGTGAGGCTAAGCAGGCAAAGATAGTAAAATGCTCAGAGTCTATGTGGAAGCTAACATACTATGCCACTGTTCAAGTATGCGTTCTTAAAATTACCTACAATGAACCCTGGTTCAGAGACATAAAAGAATACTTTAGAGGCTGGCCAAATCAAGAGATTAAGTGAGTGCTAAGTTTTTGTTTTCTTGGATACATCCTATTTATTGAGTATATATTCTTCTTTTTTTGGCACTTAAAGATGGGAGTCAAAAGTCTTTTGTATTGTCCTGTGCATTGTCTGGTATTTCAGGTTTTATTAAATGTTCAAATTAGCATGAAGTAGCTCAGGCCTGGAACAAGAAAAATGAAAAAAAAGAGATCTATGATTTGGGGTAAGTCCTAGGAGAAACTGAGAAACTAGAGGTTTTTCTTTTTCTTTTTCTTTTTTTTTTTTTTGGCATAGGACTATTGAGTTGTTGTAGAGTTCACTAACCCAGGTGCATTCTACAATCTGCACCTCACCTAAAATCTCCCATCCATGAAGTGTGGTGCAATCAGCACCTTGAATCTGCACCTCACCTAGAATTGCTCATCCATGAGAGAATAATTTGTTTTCTCCTAAAATTTGGTTTCAGAGGCAAAATTGTAATTTCCACCAGGTGATATAGTAGAAATCACTGATTGTAGATTTAGTTGAATTTCTTGTGAAAGGAAAAGGGGAGGAAGATAAAGATTTCAGTAGTAGAGAAGAAAAGAGAGGGAGAAAAGAGTAGGAAGTCAACCAGGACTCTTGAATTAACCCTAGCCGCCAACCCCTCATTATATTTATACTTAACTTAAAGGATGAGATATTACAAGGATGCCCTTAGTAGGGCGGCTACTAA